ACATTTGCAGCACTTTACGCAGAGGTAGCGTATCGGGCCACCTATTTAGTTCAACAGGCTTGAACTCCGATTTTCCGCGTACACTGATATATGCCAGAGAACAGGGTAAAATGTACATTGGAGCACAGCTTCGAGCGAGGCGCCTCAATATCCTTTGGAGAACCCCGGTCAGGAGCGTGTCGGTCGTGATGCGCAAGGTGAGGACTTTGTGAGCGCGTCAGAACCGATCAGCTCCAGCCGAAAGAGACTGCTATCTTGTGAAGGTATCTGGGGATGATAGCTCAGCAAAACGGCCAGAACACGCTTTGCGTGCACCCTTCTCTTCCAGTCATGCCTCGTTTGAGTCCCGTTAGCCTCCCTGCGCGTTATTGAAATGAAAGAATACAATTGTGTCTCGAGGAGACGATTGCGCTTCGAATCTAGAAATAGAAGACGACCGTGACTCGCGGGCAGTAAGGCCCGACCATAATGTTACAAAGGCGACTCGTTCAGTTCAATGCGACTTAGCAACACCGACTGACTGTTACAGTAATGGGCCGTCCGTACACACACATATTGAGGAAGGCTTAGGTCAACTGACACGCCCCACAGCGTGTTACTCGCTTCCAACGGGCCGTTGACTTTCGTGGAGCGGAGGAAAGTGAGGTAGTATTTATATTTATATCGAGGTTCCACGTGCCCTGGTATAAAGAATGTGGGTTACACAAGATGGTGTGACCACGCAATGGTGTGACTACACTTTAACAACAAGGAGTCAGTTCGTGGCTGAACCGCCAGTGTATAAACATTTCATAAGATTTTACTATATAGATAGGAAAACCTATAGATTTAGATAAAGGCTACTTTGCCGCAAATAAAACCGAGAAATACAGATTACGTTCTAAACGGAAGATTTAATGAGCTTTGATTATAATTTACTTTTGAAGTAAGTGGATTGCAATCAATACTCGTACTGGTGCTAAGAATAGAACGAAGGTTACCAACCTTAACCAAGCTTCCTCTAAGCAAAAGAACTACGGCAGCCCCGCTGCACTTGGTAGCACTTGCAGTCAATCTACACCTGAGTAGTATCGACTGACCCTTTTTGAGAATGGAGCAGCTCTCTTTTTCTGCCCCAGGGCGTGTAGGATGGGCTTAAAGAGCTGATGTCTCTGCTTGGCCCTGAGGTCGTGCAACACCTCGCTTCGCAAGGACCTAAAGCAATCAGCGCGCGCCTAGAGGCGTTTTCGAACTGTGAAAATGCTTTGTTAGAGAACCTAAGCAGAAGATGTCGGCGATGGCTGCGTCCATAACGCCACCGTCGACGACGGATGACTCCTCTCAACCCAAGCCGCTAGTAAGCATTAAAACCTTCGAGGGAAAGGATGGAGAGAATTTCCTGCTCTGAGTGAGAGAAGCCGAGATGGCTGTGGTGCCCGCCATGCGTTAGACCGAGCAACAGCGCGTGGCGCTAGAAGCTCGATGGTCGAGCGCGAGAGTAGGCACTGACGTGCGGCACTTCGGTCGACGCGGCTTTTCCTTTCTGAGCGGAGCTAAGGCTGAAGATTTTACGATTGTTCTCGCCGCCTAACCAGGCATATTGTGTGCGATCGCATTTCCTTGCCACCCGACAGGGCAAGAAGGAATTGGTGAACTTTGTCGAAGTATTGCGTACTCTCATTGTCGGTATGGTAGCTGATCCTTTTCCTGAGGCGGTCACAGTGACCGTATAAATGGAAGTCTTCTGTGTGCACCCCTCCTCTTTTGAAGAAGCAGTGAATATGGCATTGAATGCCGAATTCAGCTTTCAGTCGGCACGACATGGTTGAGGTACACACTATAGCAGCTCGTCGAGCGGGCCTGAGCCGATGGATCTCATCTCTGCTGAGGACGAAGAGGCAGAGCTCCGAGCTGGCTACAAAAACCCGACGGTGTTTTGTCCGTGGAGGCACCCGTCAGCCTCGGATTGGCTGTCCCCTGCGCAAGGCGCGTCAAGATTCATCGAAACGACATCCCGTTTTTATCAGTCTTCTAATTCATTGCGGGGATCGACAGCACCCAGTAGTCGCGGGGATCCCTACTGGGGAAGAACTGAGTTCTGTTGAGCCTCACAGAGGTAGAGGTCAGCAGAGCCCAGCTCCGAAGAGCTCCGTGCTCTTGAACACGAAATGTGTATTCAAGCCGGGCTTGCTGGTCGTGGAAACTTTGGTGTGTCATGAACTCACCTCTGTTGAGAGGCAAAAATGTTATTGGCGCGGACACTAGACCGAGACGGTCAACGTGCTGGAGATCGGAGTATTCGAGTTGGTGAACATCAAAGGTCAGTCCCGAGCATGGCTCGCGGGCTGAACGTGGAGTGGCACGCAACTCACAAGTATGGAGGGGTATAGTTTCTTGTTTTTTATTTTTCAATAGTTTTTTACTTCGTAGGTGGATTTTTGTCATTTCAGGGGAAAGTCGAGATTCAAGGTAGATTTTTTCCATTTAAATATGTTTTTTTTCATTTAATTTGATAAACGGTATATTTTTTTGTCGTACATTCGTATGGTTTGCTACAAAATTGTATTTGTAGCAAAGGTTGCTAGAATTTTGTGATATGAGATCTCGTCATCAATCAGCTTCCAGCATAAATTGTAATTTTTTGCAATTTTTAGGATAGACTAGTAAAGAAACCGTTAATCGAAGTTTGATGGGACAAGTATCCAAAAAGCTACAGTTAAGCAAAGTCTGTCAAAGCGCAAAGTAAAATTTGAGGCCAAATGTGTAGTCATGTCATGGCATTGATATGGCCAATTTTGCTTTTTTCTCTATTGTCGCTGCCCGTGCGTGTGTATGTAAATGTAAGTTTGAGTAGCCAAGATGCTGGCTATCATCATTCTTCTCAAGCTGCCGATGCAACTGTTATTCTACATCCGTTAAATGAAAAAGAATGGAGGCTCTACCCGAAAAGAGACACCAATTTATCTATTTTGACGATTGTTCAGCCTGGTGCACATTTCATCGCAGTTAATTTTAAGCGACTTGATCTTTTACCAGGTGATAAGCTCATTGTACGAGATCCCGATGGTTTGGCGTCGGTCAGTATCACTGCAAATACCAGCACGAAGGTTGACCTCACCAATACATCGCCAAGTTCAGTATTATTACGGACTCACCCATTTTTGATTAAAGGAGATCAAGTTGTTGTTGAATATTTTCCAAGTGTTTCAACACTTGTGCTTCCACTGAGTTTGCAACCCAGCGTTGTACTAGCCTCGTATATTTACGTCTTGTATAATTCTTCGGTTGCAGATGTCGATACTGAAAGCACGGTTGGTGTCAAAGATGAAGCAAAAGAGGCTATATGTTATCAAAAGACGGAACCGAAAATGTATGCGAAGGCTCGAGCAGTAGCAAGATTAATGATCTGCAATGACCAGAGAGGGTTTTTAAAAGATAACTCTGAGCAAGTGACGAGCTGGGCGTTCTGCACTGGCTGGATCCTTGGACAAGGCAATTATCTTATAACAAACCACCACTGCATGAAAGACGCAGTAGTCGCGACAGAAGTTGACGACAATCCCTTGAAGTTATTATCCAAAGCCTTGAATCGGTTATGGCCCCATACTCGTTCTCCAGCAAACAAAACTGGTCGTATTGTCGAAGCAGTGGTTAGCTTTATGGCCGAGACAAAATCGTGCCAGGAGACAGGTTACATAGGTGAAAATGTTGGAGTGGTGGAAGCCACAAAAGTGTCGGTTTTGGCAGAAAATCCAGTGCTGGACTATGCTTTGTTACGCGTGTTGACAAATGAATCAACAACCGACTTGGCAAAACGCTATGGCTCCTTGCGTCTTCGCGTTACCGGTCCTGTCGACGGCGAAGCTATCTACATTCCCCAACATCCGCGTGGTGAGCCTAAGGAAATTGCAGCAACAAAAGATGGGAAACCTGCGGTGATCGAAGTTTTGGCCGCCTCAAACGATTCTTCGGACTTTTTACGCCATGAAGCGAGCGTCATTCAGCCAATTGTCGAATATAATGCTGACACAGAACCTGGTTCGTCCGGTTCGCCCGTATTAAGTCAGAAAGACAACACTGTTGTGGCACTACATCGCGCCGGAAGCTTTGAGACGCTGTCATCCACGTCTTCGGAGCTTTATAACATTGGAGTTCGCGCTGATTTTATTGCACGCGACCTTAAGCGACGCAAAGTTCTGCCCAAAAACTCGTTGGTGTGCTAAACTCTGCTGAAAATGAGCAATTTGTAGCTTCTGGCATCGATCGATATTCGCCTTGAAAAGTATCACATTAGATTATTCCTTTTACAGAAGACAAGGTCCGCAAGTCATAAGTTTTCGTACATCCGAGTGCTCAAACTCTTCCATGTCATTTGAAAATCGTATAATTACTGATGTTACTAAATTGGAGCAGACACTATTGCATATGCATTTCACCAATGTAAAATCAAACACCTGACTGTCCGAGAAAATCAGGGCACGGTTTACTGGGATACACGTAAATGTTCGCAAACTTTCTCGTTCGTGTGTTGTGCAGCGCTGTTTCGATGGCATACTCCTCAAATTAATCTTCATATCGCTGTATCGTCAACACAACGGAGCGTGTACTATTGACCATTACTGACTGACCTGACTTTCTGTCAAGAATTATTTCTAGCCTTCAAGTTCTTATTAAATCATATTGCAGCCAATTTACACGCAAGGTAATGCGGATGTTAGATTAACTTTTACAAGGCGTTAGAATCGAAAAGGTTGTTCATACAATTCAAATCAAATTTTTACATGACATCGTATTACCACTAGTCCAAGTAGAACTTAAAATTTGATGCATCATATCCTATTGGTAGGCTCCATGTAAGTGATGGATGTTTCAAGAAATATTATTTTCTAGTCAATTAGCAGGATGCGATTGATTTCTTGATACTAGTTGAATAATTGAAAAAGCGGATACTTGATACCCCTTAATTAATAGTCTGTTTTCAATCGTTTCAAACTTGTTATTTGAGGTGTAGCTATTTATAAGCAACATAAATCTGTAATGTGCAACGTATCAAAGGTAAAGGGAAACGCGCAGCGAAGTGTTCAACGATGAGTAGCAATGGCGAAGCAATTGAACGTTCCCATCAATCGGAACCCATAAATTCTTATAAAATTACATCTAAAGAAGCAACAGAAGATTCAGCTGATGCCAGTGAAGACTCGACTGGACGTCGTCGATCGAATTACTCAGTAAAGAAGAAACGCGAGCTTATTGCACTTGCTCAGGTTGCGGGTATCCGTGAAGTTTGTCAACTTGAGGGTGTACCACGTCGTACAATGCGTCATTGGTTGCGTGATGCGGAAAAAATTAATAACTTCGAGGGTCCAGATACACGCAAGTCTATTGGACGTTTAGGTCGCCGTGAGCTATTACCTTTTGGACAAAAACTAAGCAAATTCTTGGAAAAGGGGCGATCTGAAGGTAGAGACATAACATCGTCACATATGATTGAATATATTCGACAGGAACATGCAGAGTGGCTTGAGTGCTATATGGCAGATAAATCAAGTACGGAGAGTGGGCATGCAGCGCTTGCGAGACTATGTCAAAGGTTTGTTGAGCGACATGGAATTACTCAGCCGGAAAGTGACAGTATTTTAACACGGCATAGTACATTAATGCCCGATATGACAGCAACGGCATGTAAAAAACAGTCTACAAAGGTCACGCTGTCCTCAAATGATATGCAGACGTCTACACAATTGAATATGTTAGAATGCGAACGAGGTGACAATACTCCGTTGCTATTTGGATTAGATATTGGTACTTCGGCTATCAAATGCGTTGTTGTGAAAGCTAAAGGTCGAGAAACTGTTGCTACGACAAATGTTTCGCTGAAAGAAGTGACTGTATCGGCTCGATCAAATGACAAAATTGCCAAATATAAAGAAGGCGTGCAGAATGTCGACCAAATACTATTGGCAGTACAGCGCGCTATAGAAATGCTTCCCGAATCGGTACGTCGTCGAGTTTCGTCGATTGGAATCTGTGGTCAAATGCATGGGATTGTGTGGTGGTGCAGTCATGCTGTTCATGAATCAGCGGATCTTTTATTAAAAGCACGGGGTTCTTGTATCTACAAAAGTGAAGACACGCTCGACCCAGCGTGGAGTGAACTGATTACTTGGCAAGACCAGCGTTGCACAGCATCTTTTATAAAAAAATGTCGAGAAAAGGTTTCTTCCTTTCACACGGCGGAAACTTCTGCGATATGTAGTCCAATTGCTGCTGGTTATGGACTTGCCTCATATTCACACATTTTAGAACACTCTTCACACACATTAGTGGGCATGGATGCATGTGGAACCATTCAAGATTTTGTAGCTTTTGTGCTATGTGGTCATACACTTTCTAGTGAGACGGCCATGGATACAACGAATGCACATAGTTGGGGTGGCTTTAATATGAATACTCTAGCGTGGGATTCTCATGTATTGCGTGCGTTGCGAATTCCATTCTCGATGCTCCCAACCGTTAAAAAACCAGGCTCTTGCATTGGTCACACCTGTACGGGGTACACTGCTTTTGGGTTGCCCTTTCAAAAACCTGTGTACGTTCCGATGGGTGACCACCCGTGCTCCGTGTTGGCTGCAATATTAAAAAGCCAATCAGCATTGGGTAAAGATCTCAAGCTAACGCGTGCGTTCAATATATATTGGACGACTTGGTGAGATACTGACAATGTTGTCCTGCAATCTTAGTCGTCAATATTGGCACGTCGGCTCAATTGGCCATGGTCTTAACTGACGCTGATGTTGTCAAGCTACCATTTGGCCCGAAAAGCGATTCTCTGACCAGAAAACAAGGCAACTTGAGCTTTGAGGTGCGACCATTTTTAATTGACCACCACCTTCTAGGGGTGGCGGCATCTCTATCCGGGTATGTCTCAAATCAAATTCCTTTTCCACGTTATATGAAACTAATATAGTGATGATGTCGTCCAATACAAGTGGGAATGTTTTTGCCTGGTTGGTTCAGCAATGGCAAAACTGGACTAAAGAGATGGGATTAGCTTCTGCAGATAATGGTGATGAGGAATCGGCAACACAAAGAGATGCTGAAGTCTACGCCCGGCTTATTCAATTGGGAATGCAGCACCAAAACACGCAACTCACGTTTGTGCCGACGTTAAATGGCGAGCGCGCTGACCCAGACGCCACCGGCAGTATCTTAAACTTGCGAATGAACAATTGGAGCATGGGTGATATTACTGCTGCACTGTCTCGCGGCCTTGTTGACAACCTCTTTGCTATGATTCCAACAGAGGTACAAGCTCTCATTTCTACGCAACCGTACGTTTTTATTTTATGATTTGTTGCGACCTGCTATATGTCGATTGATCTAGTTTTCGCATTTGGTCTTTAATGTAGGATTATCGGTACAGGCAATGCCCTCGTACGCAATGAACTTATCCAACGGTTTCTACGGTGTCGTCTTGCTAATCCTCAGAATTTGCATCTACAGACAACTGCTGATGCAGCTGTGGGCGCGTCGCTTGCTCCTTTACTTGTAGATTATGCAGTGTAGTCTGATCCTGAAGGTGCTCGTCGTCAATGTCGTAAATAATTGCCAAGTCTGAAAATTAGGAGATGCAAAGCGTTAAGGCAGTTGGGGATTGTATATTTGGAAAGTCTGAGAGTTTTGCTCAACCGATATCTTATGGACAACATTCTGCAGATAAATATTAACATGCAAAAGAATGTCCTTATTTGGTATTGCGATTACATCCGTCACTCTTGCTCTTATTGCGGCCCACTTGCTCTTATATTAGAGAAAGGCAGGTGGCAATCTAGGACTCAGTCAGTTTGACTTCTTGCGCTCTCGTTTAGCTTGTAAGGGTAATAAGCTTTGTCCAGCTCATTTAGTGATAGAAAAACAAATTATTTTGATATGTTTTGTATAGCGATGAATTTGAACAGAATGGGTTGATGAGAATATACACGCTGCGACTAGACGTTACAGTTGTAAGGACGTAAAGTCACGTGCTGTCTAATATTGGGGACAAGAGCAGGTCTTTTTCGTTGCCATGACGATAAACATCAAGGTATTAATCCTTACAGAAAATTTTGAGGACGTCGTCTAAGTAGAAGAATTGAAGTTTCTGCTCTTGGCTCCGTAGAAACAAAGTTTTTAAAAAAACGTACGGAATTTTACTGTGTTACGTTCAGTATGTCACTTACGCAGAAGATAAACTTGGTTTTCATTAGTAAACAGATAGCATGTTGTTTTTAGGTAGTAGCGCAGTATTTAAGAACTCAATAATGTTTGAGCTACAGTTGTCGAAACATTTGCCAATGAATTAGGCGTCAGCAACTTCACGCTGCGGGTTTCCTATGACACTTCCGTAATTTGATCCAGCCCATCTTCCATCGGGAGCAATAAAAGCTGCAGGGAAGTAGTTGCTTGAGACGAAAAAACTAAACACAACATAATTGACAATTTTTAGATTAAGCAGCTTAAATTTGCTAGATATTTAAATCGCCAAGAGAAAAACTCCAGCCTTCGCTGTCTCAACATTAGCTTCTTTGCCACTAACTTTTCATTCACATACGTTCAACTATAAATTTGCGGCTTCAACGTTCCTACATCAACCTGAGCTGTGGAATTGTCACGTATTTTCAAACAGAACAAATTCACAACTTAAGTTGCGACTGAATCACAATCACGTACGCACGAGTATGTGCAGGTAGAAGTACACTTACGCTCCGTACTCCATGACTCATGAATCCAAGAATTATTCGCTTGCATCCATTGCTATCTCAATTAGTGCAGATGTTTTTAAGCATCGTTCGACGTTTCTTCCCTACAATCCACACGAAATGAGGAGGGCCTTATGAAAGATCTATCAGCAGACTTAGTCCTGCTTTTGCGCAAACTTTGACATTGCTCACGTTCCACATTGAGCGAATGCAAAGCTTGTTGGTACCACCTCCTGTTCTTCTCTTTTCAAGTCGCTTCATTCGTTTAAGTTCTCATCTCGGAATTGAGAAGGTGAGAAGGTCTTCCTACACACGAAGTTTTGTCAAACATGGCGAATGGTTTGCAGCCCGAGCGTAGCTTAAGAATATCGACGTAGATGTCTACCAACTAGCCTTCGTTCAACTGCGTGGTTGATGACGGATGGCATTGACTGTTAGACTTGAAGGAATGCATATGATTAATTTTCTTTTTTATTGATGACAAGCTGCACTCCAATCTGTCACTGATCTGGTCCAAATGTCAGAACTTCCGCGATCAGTACTTCAGAAAACCGCCCACAACTTTAAAGCAGCGATGACATTTCCTAGCGTTTTACTACGTAGGTCAATGTCAGCATTGACTGTTTAACAATTGGAAGATACCGACAACTTCGATTCTTAGCACACTACATTAATAAATAAAGGTAGCACCAACTGTTGAAGCATACAGAAATGGGATCCGAGCTGGCACCGGAATATAGCCAAAATTCTGTCTCGGTGCCAAACAGGTAGAGTTCATCGTCGAGATACTGAATGCTGAGTTAAGGTTGCTACAGGTTCTTTCACATTTGTCTAGTTTGCCAAAAAAGCTGCACAACCTGGAAGGGTGAGCTCGAATGATGTTCGATGGCTGCGGCTCGTCTTGAATGGAAATGCTGCAATCTCCATTCGTAATTACTTACTGAAGTATTCGGACGTTCAAGTTTGACCAACTGCACGTAGGCGCTGTGAGACAGCGACAGCTAAATGAAGACCTCATATTACAAGCGCTTAAAAGTTCTGTATATTTTTACATGAAGATCAAGAACATACAAAATCTACGCGATATGTCTGCGGTCACATATGTTTTATAGACGTTGTTAACAGCAGGTGAATCCTGGCTGCGATGATTGTGGTCGACAATGCATTAAATAATATTTGATTGAGAAAGATACTTATTATGTCGGGTTACTCACTTCTAGCGCTCGTAGCTTTAATCAGAAATCAAATGACATCACGCAAATTGAGCTGTTGCTATTCAAGGTGTTAAAATTACACCGCTGAATGCATGTGGGTGATTACGGATGCTGATTACGGACATAATGGTAGTCGCTCATTGGTCTAGATAGATAAGGTTACATTAAGAAGCTTCTAGAAGGATCTCGAAGGACAG